CCCACGTTGAGTGCGGCTGTCATTATTTGAAGAGACAACTATGATCCAAACGAGGCACGTGTAGTTGCAGTACATTTTGTTATTATTTTTAGCAGTTTACCTCGCACACACATACACTTTCTCTCTCTCTCTCTCCCAGTTCCGTTCGCTCTCACGCATACATCGACACATTACTCGTACTTCAGAGTTCGGCTGGCTTAAATAGCCAACGGCTCTTGTGCAGGTAATTGAGCTTTAACATGCTCAAAGCTTATTAATACATGTAAAAGGGGCTTTATGTGTGCGTGTGAGTGTGTGTCTGTGTGTGTGTGAGTGCGTGTATAGCTGTATGAAGTTTGTGAAGCTTTGTTTTGCTTTGGGCAGCGTTTATTTGTGTTCAATGCTGTCGCCGCTCTTCTGCCCAGTTGAGTTTTATTTATGTGACATAATTATCCCAGTCGACGTAGGCTGACAGCATAAATCCATCCGATAATCGTTCCCATGAAATGGCCAGCCAGTGCCCACGCACATATGTACATAGTAAAATATATGTATAACAGTTTTCATCATATTTATTGCGATATATTATGGCCAAGAATCTGTGATGGCATACTTTTCGACTCAAGTATCGGTAATAGCTGTCATATGAATTATACTAGAATTTACTAGAATTTACGCTGCTAAAATCTGTTATACGATTTGTTAGCTGTATTGAACACTATTGTGTTATATGTACTATCTGATATATCTCATTTCTTATATCATTTATAGATGAATATCGTAATGATGTAAGCATTCTGTTATAGACTTCTCTGTGATATTTATTTGTGATATATACAACTTATGTTATATTACAATATCATTTATTTTATTTTTATATACATATGTATATATTTAACATTTTGTATATTGTATAAGATACTGTTCTGTTATATATTTTTGTTATACATATACATATATTCATATTTAATATATACTTAAAACTGTTATATATTTTTCTGTCATATATGATGTGCTATTACTACTATTCTGTTATATAATTCTGTCTTGAATTCTGTTATCTAGCTATTTCTTTGTATATTTAATATATATTCATTAGTTATGTATACTCTTTCTACTGCTTTATATCAGACATCTGTCTTATGTATATTTCGTTATGCTATATATCATATAATTTTCATTTGTAATGACTTGTGTTGTTATGGCTTATGGAAATCTCTCAGATCTTTAAGATTTATTGACATCAAGCGGAAATGGGCACACACACATGCGCAAGCTTTCTCTCACACACATACTGAGGCCCCACAAATCATTTACACACACACACACACACACACACTAGCTTCCACGTGTATAGGTAGATGGATGTGTATGGCTGGGCTCTACCTTTTTTTTACGCGCAATTAACCCAGTTACAAGTTCGACATGCCGCAAAGCAAACTCAGCGACTCACACACACACATACACGCATACACACACATACACAAACACATCCTGCATTTATCATAATTACTTCCCCGAATATTTGTGCACAGCCCTGCCAAAAAAATAATGCTGAAAAAGTTTATGAAGGCCCAAGCTCACACACACACACTCACACACCTGCCCTCACACACACCTCCTCTAAAAAGGCGACAATTTAAATGTGGAGGAAAAAACGAAAAAAGAGTAAGAGAAATGCGCGCGTTGGCTGCTTAATGTTTTAATATGCCTTCAGCAACTATTAAGAGGATTTCGCATTAAGTGCCAGGCACATATAAGACATCAATTATTTATAAATAAAAGCGCAGCCCACTTACGCACAAAGTATTTTATAGCATACTTCTGAGGGCCAAGGCACAAAGCCAAAAACCACAACAGCAACAACGACAATGTAATTGCTCTTGCAAATTGTCAACAACAGCGACAACAAC